TGTCACTTACATAATATGGTGTGCGTGGTAGTACTATCAGCTACACAACTAACTTCCTCACTAGACATATACCTAGAAATAAATTGATTGAATTGGTCACATGCGTAAATATAAATCAATTCATTCAATTAATCAATTCGTGAAATAATATCTAAAATTTATTCGTCCATAGGAGCTGATGCCTCTTGAAAATCTGATATCTCCATGGATGTAGTAGCATCTTCGAGATGATCTACATGTGCAAAGTTAGACTCACGATGGGAATGATACTTGGCAATGGCCTCGGGGGTAGCTCGGCATACGCATGATCCATGATCCCTTGATCCATAGTGGTAACACATTGTTCATTTCAGTGGAAGTCGATTGAACGGTAGTTTTTCCTTGTTCTTAAAGTTAAGGACCTTAGGGGCAAGAGGTTGGCACTACTTGGTTACATTTCCTCCTTGGGTGAGCCTTGACTTTGTGGACCTTAGGCCCGTGGTGGAGCTTGCCGCCCATTGCCACGGCCATGACAATTCTTGCGTCATTTGTGGCTGCTAGAATTGGTCGCATATGCTTCAGGCACAGCGCTCGAGCCAATCAATCGAGCTTGATGATTCTTTATCAAAAGCTAGTTCTCTTTTTTAGCGAGAAGTAAAATAGAGATCAAATTCAAAAATTTTGTAAACTTTTGTGCCCTATATTGTTGCTGCAGGACAATATTTGTGGCATGGAAGGTCGAATATGTGTTCTCCAAAAGATCTGATTCGGTTAGTTCCATTTTACAAAACTTCAGCAGTGATCAGATTCTACAAATTTCAAAGTTGTGTTCATTCACGGACTTAAAGTCTTGGCAACGAAGATGCTGACAGTCGTGTCTTGCTCCAGGCAAAAAGATTTCTTTTTGGTGATTGAAATGATCAGCTAGAACAAGCCAGAGGGTGCGTGGATCCTTCTCAGTGAGGTACTTGGTCTGCAGTGCATCATAGATGTGTCTTCGAATGAAGATCATTGCATTAACTTTCTGAGCTTCGTCGACGGATTTGTCGTGGGTAGGTGCCTCAATAGTGGCTCTAATACCTTTGTAGTAAGATGAAGCTTCACGTATTGAATCCACTTCAGGTAGTTTTTTCCAGATACTTCCAGAGCAGTGAAATCGAGCTTGTTTAAGTTTGATATGTCCCTAAAACAGAGGGTACAAAAACATGGTTAGTCATATGGTGATCCATAGACATATATTGTAGAACATTCGGGTTCTATAGACAAGTATTGGTTTAATTTATGCATGAAAACTACAGGTTTCATGTGGTAAGTTCTGAATGAAACTTCAGGTTTCAAAGGCACTAAATATGAAACTACATGTTCAATTTAGTTTTATGAACGATTAGTTCATAAAGGAGATGTTCCTGCAAGAAACACATAATGCAATATACTGATTTAAGTATAGTGGATTTAAGTTGCTTCAGGAACTCAGGTGTGAGAGTTTCGGGACTACGAAAGTATATCAACGATTCAAAGTATAAAAATAAATTATTGAATCGTTAATGTCCAAAAGTGATATTCAGGTCAATAATTATGGATTCATTATCAGATTAATGGACTGCAGGTCATTTTTAATTAATTCAATAGATCGGGACTGAAGAGGGTCGATCGTGGAAGCAAAAATAATAATAACATTCAAGTTAAAATTATTTAAAATGCCAAAAATTAGCATTGGATTCGAAAGACCATAGCCCAAAAGGGTTTGGGCTTGGGTGTCATGAGTAGGGTAGAGCCTTAGATGATATTAGGTTTCGGGTTTGGTTACAAAAACAACCTATATGTGGCTACAGGCTATGGGCGGAGGTTGGGGAGCCCAACAGCAGCAGCTGTTGGTGTTTGGGCAAAGGAATTGGACACAGGTGAAGCCTAGCCGAAGCTGGGTCTAGGTCAGGGGGAGCTAAGCCTAGCAGATAAGTCTGTGGGAAATGGGTCGGGGCGCATGACACAGCCCAGTGGGTTACGAGTTATTACAGGCAGGCCAAATCATGGGATAACGGGCCAAGAAGGCTACATGCTTTCTTAGTTGGGCTAAAGGACTTCAAGCCCTATTGAGCTTATCAGCCTGAAGGCCTGAGGTGTCTAGGTCAGCGCAGCAAGCCCAAAGGCTTATGCTATGTGGTCCAAGTGTGTCAAAAATGACATCGTGTCATGATGTGCGCCACACGACTGGGCTTCAGGCCAGTGGTGTCACGATGGTGATGCGGCGGTGCAGCTAGTTCCTAATTTTTATTTTTATTTTTGAATTCTCTAGGGTTTGAAATACCCTAACATGCTTCTAATTTATTTATATGCTTTGACTCACAATTCCACATAACAATATATTTGCATAATGCATGAAACGCGCGCGCACGCGCGCGCACACACACACACACATATATATATGTATTGACAAATATATGAAAAATATACAATATATATATATATATATATATATGTATATCAGAAGGAAAATATAAACATAGGGGGGTTCATCAATCATGGGGAATTTTTTCAAGCTTCAAGGTCGTTTCAAAAATCTTCCTTTATTTTAAGCGTACCTGATTGGTATAAAACAAATAAATGCCTTTGAATTTTTGTAGAAGATAGTCTCCTCCTACAAGCCGTCAGTTCCTCAGCTTCTGGCAAGAGTGTGCTGATAACGTGTTGTAGGCCTATTTAACTAAGCTATTCTAAGGGAATAGAGAAAGGGAGGCCAACGGTAGTGAGAGAGAGAAGAGAGAGATTTAATTGTGAGGTGTTGTGTTGTATCACCCCTTTATACCTTTATTTATAGTAATAGGATATGTAAAATTCTTACCTTTTAGGATTACAACTCTAATAGGAATTAGACTACTAAAAGAAATATAAAAGATATCCCTAAATACACTAGGATTTACACAATCACATTCCTATTCTAAATATGACTGCAACAAAAATAAAATTATAAGCTAGAAATGTAATAAATTTAGTCATATTTTCAAATAATTAATGAAATATTAAAATATTTTTATTTATGTTGGCATGAAGAATTTGAGCCTTCTCTAAAATAAAATAACATATTGGAGCTCCCTGCCTTAAAAGGTCAAAAACAGGATAACTTCATCATGAGAAATAATGATATTTGTTACTAAAATTGTCTATTTGTTTTATGTATACGAGTGACTAAAAGTTTTTCAAATTGAATGATTTTTAAATGATAATAAAGAAAATGAACGATTTTAATTATGATGTTCGTACAATCCAAATACATTAATTATAAATGAAGAGACAAACAGGTTTATCCATAAAAAAACACCAACATTATCTTTATCGTATTTACTAATTCTCTATTGCTAATTAGGTCACCATATATTTTTGGTAGGCCATGTCATGATACGTAGAATCTAATTTTGTGTCTAAACAACATTAATATTTTTTATAGGAAATCCAAAGAACAAATTCAACAACTTCCCACGTTTACTTAATCCTAATTGCGCTAAGTCGTCGAGGTGTTACTGACCTAATCCAAATATCCAATTCAACCAAACGTGAGTTGTAGGGGTTTTTTATTTTAGGAAATGACATGCAATAGATTAGTGGTACGTTGTACTTGAAATTAGCCACCTCATTATTTAAAAGGTCAATGTATATTTTGTATTTTTAATTTAATGTCATACCACAAAGAAAATATAATTACATAGAGAGGTTAAACTTAATTTACAATGTTGACTAGCAAATATGGGTTATACGCGTTGATTAGGGTATTGTGGCTCGCATTTTGCATTTAAATTTAAATCTCTATTCCCGTAAAGTATAAGAGTGGACATTTTAGTGGGTTTATCAACTAACTTGACCAACCTATCATATATGGGTTGGGATGAGTTGGATTATAAACATTAATAATTTATTTACGAGTAAAAACCAGACCACTCGTACAATAAGCTAAGTTGAAGTATTATTAACCCGATTGAAACTGACCTCACCCAAATGACAATAATTCTTAAACATACATGTATGTTAGATTGAATTGTACACAAAATTTATTAACTTTTAAAAGCAATAGTTTATTAACTTTATATTTGATAGTGAAATTATGTATTAGTAATATGTAGTGATATAACAACATCCAATTCACATGATTTAAGTTTAATTTAACGGAAGTATTGATTATTTGTTTCTCATACTCGCATTAAATTTAAGAAGAGAACCAATTAAGCCCACCTCGTGAAACTTGCGCAACCTAACCGGCCGCCTAAGAATAGTTTGGGTGGGCTGATTTGCCTATTTTCTAGAGTGAAAATAAGTTTGAACAACTTCAACCCGAGCATGTTGGGTAGACCAATGGGTTGAAGTCCAATTGACCAATCCACCCCATAACTGTCCCTAAATAAAGTAGATAATTTATTCTTTAAGTATTTCCTTCAAATAAGCAATTACATGCTCACCACCCTCTTAAATTTGAATTAGAGGTGCAATGTATGATTATCTGAGACATTGGCTCACACATGAACAAATATGGAAGTTGCTACATGATTAAGTTTTCAGGTTTCCTTTTGCATGTCATACTATATTTGCCCTAATTATATCAATTTAATATGATACACGTGAGACCTCAAGGTCACAATTGTCATTTCACTCACCCAAGCTTCGTTCCCGCTTATACCAACCGGTTCATTTCCCTGCTCCCTAAAAACAATGAATGGCCATCCAATGGGGATTTGCAATGTGGCGGTGCCTTCATGCATGACAACCATCGAGCACCGTCCGTTGAGTTTATACACGAATCAACGGTCGATAATGAAAGAGCACAACCCTTTGGACAAATGGCGCTCTGCATGTGATGATTCCCAGCATTTTCACAGACGAAGAGTCGCATGCATTGCAGATGCAGTGTATCCTTTTGTACAGAACAGTGCCAATCTGGTTGCCAAGAAACCCTAATTATATAAACTGTCAGGGCATCATGAACACTTCGCTGTTCGGACGCAGTGTTTTATAGCTCCCAAGTGGCTAATATCAATATGACTAACTCCAACACCACCACCACCACTAACCAGGGCTCCTCCGCAGAGGGACAGCAACCCCTTAACGAAAACGTTAGTTCCAACGTTACTGAGGCTGCTCCTACTGCTCCACCAAGCACTCATGCTCCGACTCCTACTCCTCCTCCTCCTCAAAGCACTGGTCAAGTTAATGCGGGAGGAGGGGATGGCGGGTTCCTAAGGTCCTCTGGAACTCCTCCTGTTCGTACTCATCTTACCCCTGGCCAATTCAATGTTGGAGGAGGGTTTGCTACCGGAGTGTCCTCTGTGACTCCTCCCGGGCCCAACAAAGGATCTCCAGGCCGTGGATCTCCCTCTCCTAGTAGGGGGACATCCACACCAAGAAGGGGCTCACCCTCTGGTGGCCGGAGGACTCCTAGCAGGGGATCAAAATCTCCTCCTAGCGGGAGAGGATCTCCCTCTTCTTTAGGAAGAGGGTCCTCTGCTGCAGCGGGAAACAACTCTCAAATTGGTGGGAGTAGTTTCACTCCCGTCAGGGTTGAAATCTCTTTAGGAGGGGGACTTGCCGCAGAGGGGAGCATGGCCGTGGGTGGCCAGCTGGGCAAGCGTAAAGCCGAGGTCAAAGCCCCTGAAGGAATGACCCCGACTTGCCCCGTGTGCAATCGATCGGATTTCAGTTCGTGGAAAGCATTGTTTGGGCATCAGCGTAGCCACCCGGAGCGTCCCTATAGGGGCGCCTTCCCACCCCCAGGACAGCAACAAGGTAATTAGTTGGCCCTAAATCTCTATCAAGTCTAGTAGTACTGCATGAAATTTAAACGCAATGCATGCGCAATGAAATTAAATTAAATACTTTTTAAGTTTGCTTTGTATCATGGATGATATTCTTGGTTTATGTTAACAATTTTTATGTTGTGTAGGGGAAGCAAGTAATGCTGCAAATGTGCGCGAGGCTAGGGATGTGGAGGAGGACAATGAAGGCCGTGGTGGAATTGACCTAAACATGCCCCCACCGGATGATGATGATGATGATGTTACTGATGACAACATGGATGGTGGCGACGGTGGTGGTGGTGCCGAGGCCTAAAAGATCAATTACAGTAGAAGTATGCAATTATGCGCATCTGGCATGGATTGTACGTAAAACTGCAGTTTATATAAAAGGGTTGTAGTTGTACATTAATAAGTGCGCAATTCATTTTAGTTTATTCTCTGTAATTTTAGTATGTTTGAGTAGTTTCATGAGTGACTTTAAATCCCTGCTTCTGTTAATCGGTGTAGATTGGCAGGACTTATGAATAACAGTATGAGTATTACTCTCAATTTATGTTATAAGCTTCTTAATTACTTCTCTATTTCCTTTATTATTTGTTTTGTTTTGATTATTTGTTTTGATTAGATACATATAGAATCGCATAATCTGCTTGTAATTTTGTTGTTTGCAAATTCGGATCATAAGATCAGAATGTATATGTCCTTAGTAAGACAGTGCGCGCAGTTTGCTGATTAATGGCAGGAGATAGGGTTTAGGCAGGTGGAAGTACGAGATTCAGATATTGTGTGTTTAAGTAACCCTAAATGATAACCAAGAAAGTTCAATTCATGTGTTACAAAGGGAAGTTCGAATCCTTGTTGATGTATTATGTTGTTTTTCCATGTTTTGTTAATATATGCATGTTACGTTATCGGGTTGATTTTCGTTGTTTTTCCATGTTTTGTTAATATATGCATGTTACGTGATTGGGCTGATTTTCGTTTGAATCTTGTATTAACCGTTAAATAAAATTATATAAGTGCTTTTACCAAAGAAAGTAGTTAATACCTGAAAAAGGGAAATAAAATGGTATATAATAAAGAAAATAATTGGCATCAGAACCGTTCAAGTTGAGCAAATAGTTGCAAATCCAACGGTCTCAAATCCAACTTCAAGAAACGACCACACTGTGAGTCCGAGTTCAAATTTTCTACACTCATTTAATGTATAAATTTTAAGTAACCTTTCCATCGACACATATTAATATAATTGTTTTCAATTTTATTATCATAAACTTAATACGCTTCCATACACAATGAGGCCGCACTCATGCAAATAATCGCAAGAGATTTGGTCTCCTAGGCCTCAAGTACTAGAGGACGGCCCAATCACCATCTCTACTACATTCGTTTTCGCTTCATGTTTTATTAATATTGTTGTATTCTGATTAATTTATTGGGCAAAGTTACTTTGTCCAGCACTGTTTTGGGCAAAAACAGTTGGTAGTTTCCGCCCAAAATATCGTTAAAGCTTTGGAAGAGAGAGTAGAGAGAGAATCCGTTACCGGTGTATGCGTCTTATGAGACACGCAGGCAAACACGGCCTTACCTTCACAAACCCTTCTTTCTTTTACTTTGTCAAAATCTCAGACCAACCCCAAAAAAGCTCTAGCTTTGCTCTTTGATCTTCCATTTCTCACAAGAATTTTGAGAGAGATTTGGATCTCAATTTTTACTCTTTAACTTTTACCTCGCCGCTTTCACTTGGTGATCCTTGAAAAGGTAATTTACAAAATTGCAATGCTGGCCACTGTTCATGTATTCGTTATTCCTTACTTTTTGGAATAAAGATTTAAACTTTAGGAAATTTGAAATACTGGGTTCTCCATGTGTCGAATTTTAATGCTGTTCTTGGACAAAAGATTTGAAATTATGGAAATTTAAATGTTGGGTTCTGTTTGTGATTGGTTAATTTTTCAGTGATTTGGATTTTTACCCAAGTAATATGATGGAGAAGGCGGACTCAGGGCAGAAGCTGTACACACGAATGAGGCTGTGGGAGTTTCCGGATCAGTATGTGATCGAGCCCACTGATGGCTCTCAGGGTTCCTCTTTGGCAATCAGTAGGGTGGATGGCTCTATGCAGCTCATTGGTAGGTTTTCTGTGTGTAAACGTAACAATCTTGAATTCAGTTCTGGGTTAAATGCTACAGATTTTACTGACATTTGACTGTTTGTGTATTTGTGGCTTCCGGTTTTGCAGAAAAGCTTCCAGATTCCAGCTCTGTTAGGGTTCCTAAGATTCGAACTATTTTTGGTGTGGTTGGGATGCTGAAGCTTTTGGCAGGTAACATTGCCTTATTCAAACCAATAAAATTTTCCCGTTTCATATCTTTGTGATTAGGAATATTGGATTTTGTGATGCTTAATACGCCCCAATCTGAGATCAATGTCCTGACTCTTATTGCATTTCACAGCATACACAAATTAATGCATTTCATAATGTGAAAGCTGATGCTAGGCCGTAGATTTACCAGTTCTGGTATAATTGCAAAATCTAGCATAAAAAGAAGCGTTGTAGGATAATACTACACTCTAATACGATTTAATTATGTGAGAAATTATAGAATTCTTTCTGGCACTGGCAGCTTTTCCAATTTGTTGATGTTATTAATTCATTATGTTTCAGGGTCATATTTGATGGTTATAACCGACCGTGAACAGGTCGGTTCTTACTTGGGTCATTCCATCTTTAAAGTTTCGTCCTTGAAGGTTTTTTCCTGTGACCATTCTTTGAAGAATTCCCCTGCAGAACAGGTGAATCCTTTGTTGCCCTACCCTTCACCCCTTCTTTGGTCTCCCTTATATGATTGCTTATTGACTCTTTTTCTTTTCCTCTTTTCCTTAATCGAGGAGTGGCTACTGACGTAAATTCTATATTGTTGTACCCTTTTGGCAGAAAAAGATGGAGGCTGAGTTTTCTGGGCTGCTAAATATAGCAGAGAAGACTCCTGGTCTTTATTTCTCATATGAGACCAATTTAACACTGAGGTGAAGTGTTATCTGTATTCATTAGTCCCCCTACCCAAGCCCCCATGAGAAACAAGAAGAAGAAGGTTTCATTTAATATTTGAGGCGAACTTGTGCTATTCATAATTATAAAAAATTTGTGTAATTGCAGCACGCAGCGATTGCATGATTTGGGCGATGAATCTAAATTGCTTCCACTTTGGAGACAGGTATTCCCTGACTTTGCAGTAACTTACTTTTATTATTGTTTTAATTTGAAGTGGCTTGACAATTTAAGACTAAAATTGTTTACTATATTTGCTTGTTCCCAAAGTTATGATAAATTCAAATATCCATGTTTTATGTTTTTATGTTCATGGTTTCAATCTCATGTCTTCAAATGCTTTTCCACAGGCAGAGCCTAGATTTCTTTGGAACAATTATATGATGGAAGGGATGATAGATAACAAGGTTGGGTCTGTGCTAACTTTTTAGTTTTATCTTTTCCATTTTCTGATGAACTTAATTCCCATTTACTAACTTCTGAGCATTTATATGGTCTTTGATTGCAGCTGGATCCATACCTACTTCCTATTGTTCAAGGGAATATCCTTAATTCGTTCTTCCTTTCAGTTTATTGCCGTTTCTCATGTGTGCTTGCATGCCTGCACACATGCATACATTTCATACTTGTGTATTGTTTAGTTTCATTTGTGTGTGTTGGTGTTGGATTTATAAACTGTTTTGTCATTGAGAGGTTCTCCTTAATTGATCCTCACGCTTTCATCACTTTCAAGCAGCCATTGGCAAAGATATTATTGATGTTACTCTGATTGCTAGGAGATGCACTAGGCGAAATGGTATTCAAATCTTTCTGCTTTTTCAGTCGTTTATTTATTGCCATGCTCTGTAATTTACAGTTAGTATACACTTGCAGATATACGAATAATAGATGGTGATGTTAGTACTGTACCACCTATGAGGCGAACTAATGATTTGGCTATTTAAAAAAAAAATTATGTTTGATTGATCGTAAAAGTTTGAGTTGTGGACCAACTACCCTTCATTTCAATAGGTAATGCTGAAATAGGATGGTTGAATGGATGTTGCATCTGTTCAGTGCAGTAGGAAGTAAAAGGTCCACTGATTTGTGGTGTGCATCTATGTGAATTGTTTATGCATTTCCAGCAGAATTATATTCATGCTAAATTTGGGAATGTAGAGGTTATAATATCTTATGCAGTTAGGGGTGCTATATGCATCGGAAATAGGACTTATGTTTTTGTTACTCTCGCCAATAATAATTTTCTTTTCTTGGAAGGCACGCGGATGTGGAGAAGAGGAGCTGATTCTGAAGGGTACGTAGCGAACTTTGTCGAAACTGAGCAGATTATGCACTTGAATGGGTTTACTTCATCATTTGTCCAGGTAAAATTGTATAGCTATGCATATGTAATTAAGATATGGACTTTTTGATCACATGGTTTTACTTCTATTTTCCCTGATTAATTGTCCTAAATGGTTTACAGCATCTTTAATGTTTTTTCTGCAGGTTAGGGGGTCAATTCCATTGCTTTGGGACCAAATTGTTGACTTAACGTATAAGCCCAAGTTCGAAATTGTGCGACTTGAGGAATCTGTGAGTTGGTGGTTTGTTTTTAAATTCTAAGATTCTTTCTTTTGCAATCTATCTCCATCTGACTTCTTCTGTACTACATGTTATGCAGCCTCGAGTGGCAGAGCGGCATTTTCTGGATTTAAGAAAAAAGTATGGGGCTGTATTAGCTGTTGATCTTGTCAACACGGTGCGAACTCTTTATCCCAATCTTTTTGGAATAATTTATCTGATAATACACATCCAGTAGGCATGCTTGTGTACTATCCACATGAATGCATATATGTATATGTGTAGATTGTGTATTGTGCATGGGTCGGTGTATTTTTAGGTGTGCACACTTTTAAACTTTTCATTCTTTGACATTCATATATGTGGGCGTGCATACAATTTGGGTGTTACGTCTCATGAATCATGATACTTAATCTTGTCAGCATGGAGGTGAAGGACGCTTGAGTGAGAAATTTGCAAATGCAATGCAGCATATTGTTAGTGATGATCTGAGGTAGAATTTCCTTTCACCTAATTCTTTTTACCCTTCTTTTCTTGTTCCTTGGTATGGATCTGTTTTATGTTGAGACCTGCTGAATATTGTAGATATTGGCACTTTGATTTTCACCATATCTGTGGACACGTCCATTTTGAGCGCCTCTCTATCCTTTATGAGCAAATTGTAGATTTCCTTGACAGAAATGGGTATGTTTTCCATCACCCTGTCATAAATATTTAATTCCCTGACATGCACTTGAGTATGTGTCGCTTCTTATTCATTTGTTCCTTTCAGACGTCTTTATTTACTTATTGAGTGTAAGTTCTGCAGAAAATAGATTAATATAGATACTTGTTTTGCATCCCTACACAGAAATGTAATTTTTGCTTACTCACCATGATTGAAATATAGGTATCTTCTATTGAATGAAAAGGGCGAGAAAATGAAGGAGCAACTAGGAGTTGTAAGGACCAATTGCATTGATTGCCTAGATCGTACAAATGTTACCCAGGTACGTTAATAATTTGTATATTGTTTCAACTTTTTAAGACAATAATAGTTATGCAGGCAAACCCAGACTAGTATTTTATTATCACTTTTTGGTTCTCGCTATAAAGTTCTTTTTTTCCTGTTGTTTGTTCACTAAACGAGTATTATTTGCTGCAGAGCATGATAGCCCGAAATATGTTGGAATGCCAACTTAGAAGGCTTGGAATTTTTGCTGCTGAAGAAACTATTAGCTCACATCACAATTTAGATGAATGCTTTAGAGTCTGTGAGTACATCCTTTTTCTCTTTTCTTGTACCACCTCTCTCTAGCATATAGGGCTTACCATATCTGCGGGTGTTTGTTGCTTCTGATATTATTTCTTTCTTTTTTAACTTTTTGTTTTTTTTTTTTTTTTTTTTTCCCAGTGTGGGCTGATCATGGGGATGATGTAAGCATTCAGTATTCCGGAACTCCTGCTTTGAAGGGGGATTTTGTAAGGTACTTATACATAGATCTGCTCATACATCTAATGCATTCTTACCCTAGAAAATGTGATTCTGACTTGGAAAGGTGGGGAAAAAGCTTTGAAGTTTGGGATGTATATTTTGCAGTGCAGCTATATCTATGATGCGACAGCAGTATACTACTGACATAAGAATAAGATACTATGTTTTAGTTTTTAGCTGTCGTAATTTTTGTCTATTTGGCTGGATCTTAGATGTGGACAGCGGACAATGCCAGGGATCGCTAAGGATGGGATCAGTGCCCTTCTACGATATTATTATAATAACTTTTGCGATGGAACAAAACAGGTTGGTGTGCTTCCTTTTATGTCATCTCTCCTTTTCGCTGTGCTTATGTGTTGGATCTCTTTGTATGAAGTCAATATCATCTCTTCTGCAACTACTTATGTATTGGGTACTTCTTTTTGTATTTTGGTGGAAATACCTGAAGGATGCAATTGACCTCCTGCAAGGACATTACATTGTCTCGGTCAGCAGAGATATGACACCAGCGTCACAAAAAGGAGGACTTGAGGCTGTTGCTGTAAGTTGAAGTTAGATGTCTATTCAAGTTAGCTTGCTTTGTTTTTTTGTTGCCCAACCCCTGACCTTTATCAGTGTCTTAACTCGCATTATTTTGTTCTGCAGTCATTCCCACTGGCGTTGTTTTTTGTTTTGATGGGGTTCTTTTTTGCAACATTGTCATTGAGGCAAGGTAAATATAAACACGACATGTTGTGACTAAGTAGGATTTGCAGAAATCATTGACTTAGATGGTGAAAGGGTGGGACGGGACTGGGATATTGTTGGTTCATTTCTAGGGAGAAACAATATCGGATTGTCAACATCTTTGCAAATCTGCAATCAAGTGATGTTTTTTTCTTCAATTCTTTTGCAGTCAGGTACGATCTACGGCACTTGTTCTTCTCAGTTATATGGGCAGGTCTAAGTATTGCTTTAGCTGCATTCGTGAGGGCCAATGGGCGTATGTTCTGCAACAGACCTCGTCTACACAAGCCTCGGTCTTGATTCTGGATTCAGAATGTTGTGGCCGATTCAATTTCCTGTGAAGCTTTTACTGCTTGCTTCATGGTAATTTGATTCTTTGATTAGTAACCCAGTCTTTGAAATCTTGATCAGTTATACGCAAAAGTTAATACGACATGTGTGACCTGCTTCTGTTGGTAACGACTTATATTCTTATCATCAATCTTTTTTTTTTTTTTTTTCTTTCGCTTGCACCTTGTTCAAGCTTTTCATAGACATGGTTTAAAAGTTGTAACTTGAAATTTTTTGTATCTTCGCTTTGACGATTACAGAGGATTGAAATTTTGATTTATGTTTCGGGAAATCACATTTATTTTCTTACATATGCAAAATGAAATTACTAAGAAGCTTGAGTTGCATATGGAGGCCAGTAAAGGTGAAATGCAATCTTGTAGACAACAGTTAGGCCCTTGAGATCAACAGGGGACGATGTCACGTAGCCTTGAACAAACAGGAAATCGCCCGTGCCCCCCACAACAGGATGATTGGCGGGCTTCACGTTATGTGTGCCTCCGACTATGGAAACTGAACCAGAGTGGTTCTTCAAGCGCAAAGTGATCTTGGCTACCGAAATGCTCTGAAGCCCATCCAAGCTGGATGTGACTGAAGTTCCTTGAGCTATCCCAACTGCTTTTGAAGATCGGTTGGCTGTGAGAGTCATCGGATCCTGGAAAACAAACACGGTGCCAAAGGGCGTAGTGGTTTGACCGATGCCTGTTCCAGCCACCCCATTCACTACAATATATCCGGTTTTGTTTATGGTTTCGTGTTGATAGAGTGAGAAGTGGAGGGACTTAAGATGGTGGTGATGAGAGGTAGAGGCGGCTTTGGTTAGGAGGAGGGTGCAAAGCAGAACCGGAAGAACTGTATCGAATCGCAGAGCATGAGCCATGACAGTTTTAGCATGAAAAACTTGAAGAACACTGAATTTACATGAAAGACTAGTTCTAGTGTGGAGTCTTATACAATGTGAGAGCTTAAAGTCGCATTTGGTAGTTGATTTTTGCCTCAATATCTGCCGTCTGATCCACGAAACACAAACTATGGGGTTTTGATCAAGACCATCCAAAGGGGGATTAGGTTGATACTACAGATAAGTGGCTTTTATCACTCCTGTGAATTTTCAAACAGCAACCGTGATTAAAAAGTTGATTTGGATGCTGCATCATTTTCAAAAGCTACAGCTGTCTTCAAATGTATATATAGTTGCATTGACTGAAAAAAAGATCACAATAATAAAATCGTCGTGGCCCAATCTCCTACTAAGTCCCGACTCTTCTGAACTGCACAGTAGAAGATTGTTACACACATAACACGAATGGTTTGGTAACATCACGCGTTCGCCAAATATGGCTACACTGTTATACATAATACAATTACCATAGATGGAAAATAGGTCACAAACAGTTCTGCTACCGAATTTCAAGTTAAGAATCCAAGCTTCCAGGGGAATTGTAAGCAATGATCACATGATTTATAAAATCTCCGTGGCGTTATAATCGTTACATCTGCTTCCTTTTCTTCTCCAAAATAGTAGTGGTTTCTCTGGAAGTTCAGAATTGCCCAAACCAAGTGCCACAAACCCAAATCCGGCCACAGCGCAGCAGGAAAGTACAACGGGTAGTCAGAAGTTTGCCAAAGCAGAAAATTTGCTTAGGCGTGTCTCACCCGAAGTTCGAATCACAATGTTTGGATCAGGTGCCACTGCCACGTACATGTGCCTCTCAACATCCACTACCTTTACAACAGGAACATTTTGCAACTGCTTCCCACTCTCTTGAATTTCCCCTTCATCTTTTTCGACATGCTTAACCATTGTATTTTCCTTCTTCTCCCCCTCAACTCTCTCATTGCAAGCTTCACTGGTGTCTAGTCCTGCTTCTCCATCCAAACCGCCATTGCCACCCCTCGTTCTTTTAATCTGTGCTTGAATTTCGTTCCTTTTCTCGTAGCTGGATTCTTGAACAGCATGCACAATCTCGTCACGAGAAGAATAAGCCACACAGATTAAAAGCACGGCCTTGGAATTATTGACAGTGGCCTTCGTTGCCTTTTCAGCAGCATCCCTCACAGACTCATTCAAAAGCTTCAAGTTACCGATAAAGTATACTCGAATGCCGTACTGGTTGACAATGCTTTCTCTCTCAAGCAACCCCTCAATCTGCTCCTGCAACAAATCCATCAGAATTTGCACCTCGTCGGATGGCCGCTTGAAATTATCAGTGCCGAAGGCAGAGACCGTCACATACTTTACCAACAACTCGTAGCAGTACCGGAGAACCGACATGAAAGATAGAAATCCGGCTCTGTGGCCTTCCCCAGCAGGCAGGTTCCTCTTCTTTGCATACCTTCTGTTCCCATCCATGATGAAGGCTATGTGTTCAGGAATGGGGCCCACAGATACAGCACTGAACAAGCATTTCCTCAGAAAAGATCCTAAAGCCCCCAACGATTGGCTTGCACCAATAGCACTGCTTTGGCTTGCAACAATGGCACTGTTTTCCTCCGTCATATGATCCTGCTGAAGACAAATGAAACATCGGTGAACATGAAACCTTAAACACTCTCCACAAATGGAAATAAAGGAAAAGAACTCGTGATTTACAAATCACAGTTTGACGTGTACGTTTTTAATGACTTTTTTTGTGTGTATAAGTACTGAACTTTAGTTTCAGCAGTCAAAAGTAATATTGGGTTCCAAGAAATGATCACAAAAAAGCCAAAAAGAAATTCAAAGTTTGGACTTGTTGGAGCAATATTAGAAAATATGAAAATAATACAAGAATTCCAATGATAATAATCATAAAGAAAATAACAACATCAATAGTATATGAGATTAATATAAATAACTAGAGATAAAGTTAGAAAAACTGACAAACTTGGAGATTGAGGCTTGCATAAATGCAATGTCCTAAAGATAGAATTTCGCCCTTACTCTTGTGCTTGTAGTTCGGTAGGCGTCCATCTCCCAGGATTCAACAATCTATAATCCGAAGTCAAAGCACTTCAATCTTTGGACTCTGGCGAACTTTATATATTTCATACTCTCAAGACACGACTAGGAATTTGACTCACGAAGTATGAGAGAAACAAAGTGGGGAAACCCTATTTCTCAAGAGTAAAAATTAACTCTAATTTTCTATATTTAATACCAATGGTTTCATGGGTTTAAATAGAATCCAATTTCTACTTATTAAAGAGATGTAACTTTTCATCTATAAGTATACATCACTTATCAAGGAATACACCTAAACAACATAACCTTTCCAAGAAATTGGTTAACAATATTTTTCATTCAATTATTAAAATTATATATTACAGTATATAATTTCCAACAGGACTTTCTTCTCCTTTGCTCAGTTTTTCTCTGAGCAGCCAAACGCAGAACAAAAGAAATGTTCATGTAGACAAATCACAATCACACAACACAAGCAAATTGTTGATGAAGACATGTCACAATAAAAAAGAAAAAGTTGTTCATATGAAAATTATATATATATATATATATATATATATTCACACATATGATATCATTATACACGAAAATTATTTTTACACACCATTTTTTTTGTTTCTACAGACCCTCCCTTAAAATCGTGTAACGATCTTCTTTTGCTTATTCAATCCAAAGGCAAAAGGTAAACAGGGTATACACGGGGAGAAAAAATGTGTAGAAATCCCTTTCTGTCGTATAAAGTGCGAAGGACTTACTTGAATATATTGATGAATGTGTCGATCAAAGTTGAAGCATTGGCGACCCAATGAAGTTTGAAGAAGCAAGAGAGTTAATTAAGACCTATATATATAAGAGTGGTTAGTGAGAAATCAAACGAAGTTAGATCAGCGATATCGAAGAACGTTGTGCATCTGATCAGTTGGCAAGGATCACCAACTTCATTCAATAAACACTCCCTTTTCGGTTATCAAAGTCATAATATCTGCCATTTTCCAACGAAAACTCAATATATTAATGTCGTATGCACCATGCAATTAACATGAGCTGCCTCTCACTATCTAATCTGGTAGCTGACTGTATAGGACAACAAACAAACCCTTGAACTGAATGTGACTATTTTCACAATCTACTTAATATTTCTTTATATATGTAGAGCAATGATCTCTCAACTTTAACCTAATTGAAGTAATGATTCCTCAACTAAAAATCCATGATCATTGGTTATCTCTTAACTCATCAAAACATGTAGCTATGGTCATTTTCGTTAACTCCGTCAAAATAACTCATGTTAGAAGGATCATTGCTACAATTGGGTTAAAGTTGAGGGACCATTGCCCCAATTGGGTTAAAGTTGAGGGACCATTGCCACAATTAGGTTAAAGTTGAGAGACCATTTCTCCAATTGGATTAAAGTTGAGGGATCATTGCTACAATTTTTTTCATTTGGTTTTTCATATTTGCCCCTTAATTCAGCCTCATGTGTGTCGCACGCGACTTATTTCAATGGAAGTTCTAATGGAGTTTATGAAAATGATTATAATTGCACGTTTTGATGAGTTAAGGGACCAATGGTCATAGATTTTTAATTGAGGGACCATTGTTGCAATTTCCTCTATATTATGCAATTGTTAATTATGATTAGTGTTATGTGTAACGAGTAATTGATCGACGCATGGAGCTTGGCAGATTACTGATGTGCTTAAGAGTCAAGATCATTGTAATAGAGCTCTGGAAAAAATCATCTAAGCCCACATTATAAATTGCTTTGATGATAGTATGGTTTAACAAGCAATCCTTTAATCCAGCACAAATGGTGGTTAATTAAAAGAACCAAATTTTTAGGAATTTCAATACATAATTGCTACAATTAAATAAAAATAAATATGAAAATTGACAAAATTAAAGAATGAGATTGTTCAAACATTCTCAATTTGATGTTTGAACATCAACATAAACCTTGTAGTATCGCTATCACGTTTTATCTCATTGAGAGCTATGAAACCTAGAGTGAGATGATCGATGACGAATCGACTGTTTATTGGCTCCAAAATTAAAAGTGGCTTGCACAGATGTAAGTTTGGATTGCTTTGGTTGTTCCTTGATTGCTTGAATCTGTTCCAATTGCTCCACAACTTCTTTCATGGAGGGCCGGCTTCTAGGGTCCGGTTCTAGGCACTTATGAGCTATGAGTGCTGCCTGCATTACTGCCTTGAAGGCATATTGGCCTTCCATCCGCACATCCAATATGTTTTTAAGCCTTCTTTTGTGTAAGAGAAGTGGTTTAGCCCATTCTACAAGTTGTTGTTCTTCTCTGGGACGTTGCCTATCAAGTGCTCGGTGCCCTGTCAGAATTTCGAGCAACACAACGCCGAATCCATACACATCGCTGTTCACGTACAAATGACCTGTTGGTTTCGGGTATACATATCAGGAATATGTATCAGCTGATTTTTGAAAATCAACAAAGCGAATTTTCATATCTAAACTCCAAAAAATCTTCCATTTTTGTTAGAGATTGATTACCTGTTGCAATGTATTCTGGAGCAGCATAACCATATGTTCCCATGATCCTAGTCGAAACATGTGATTCTCCACCTGCTGGCCCCAATTTCGCCAAGCCAAAATCCGAGATTTTTGAATTGAAACTCTGCAGAAGTAAAATAGGTGATTAACAAAAAAAAAAAAAAAAAGATGGTTTAATTATATCATGTACATGCAGATGCAGCTGTAGCCACATTAACAACAGTGGATAGTGGATGCGCTCCTCCCCATGCACCCAATTTCGAATTCCTCTCTCGCAGCCATTTGGATTAGTATAGAGTATATATTACATCACGTACAAGCAACAATATAACTAAAATGAGAGAGAGAAGGCTAAAATAGAAGTACAAACCGCATCAAGCAATATATTTGAGGACTTAAAATCTCTGTAGATGATTTGTTTTTCTGAACTGTGTAAGAAGGCCAGGCCCCGAGCTGCTCCAATAGCTATTTTTAGTCTTGTGCCCCAAGAAAGAAGATCGCTGCCCGCGCTCCCTACTCGAAGCAAAAGTTGTAGAGTTAACAATTCAAGCAA